TCTGTTGTTTAAAAAGGTGTTTGCAATGAACAAGTTATTGGTCTTCCAAAATTCTATCATATGATCTTTCCAGCATCATTTCTTATCACTAACGCCATGTTTTCTAACTACTGATCCTTCCTCTTCACTTCTGAGTTTTGTATTCCAGTCACATAATTATCAGTATATTTTGATTGCATGTTTTATCAATTTCTAACTGAAAAAGTTGGTAGAGTTTTTCAGTCTCATCACTGGCTTTAGTGGTCGGTATGTAAATTTGAATAATAGTGGTTTTAACTTGTCTTCCTTGTAGGTGTATAGATATTATCCTATCACAGTTAACATTGTACTTCAAAATAGTTCTTGAAATGTTCTTTTTGAGGATGAATGTGACACCATTGTCTTTAATTTATTGTTTGTCAGATTCAGCTTGGCTAATACCAGTGCCTTTCAGCTCACTCATGCCTAGGATATTGATCTTTATGCATTGTTTCATTCTTGAAAACTTCAATTTTTCTAGATTCATACTTTGTACATTCCACATTCTGATTTTTGATGGATGTTTGCAGATGTTTCTTCTCACTGTGAGTTGTGCCTTATCAGCAAATGAAGGTCCTGAAAGATTTGCTTTACTCATGTCATGATCAGCTTTCCTTAGTTGTATTTTGAGTGCCTTTCATCCTGAGGGCCTTATCTTAACTGGTCCTGTAGCTGACTATATTCTGCTGCTGTTCATTTTCAGGGGCTAACCATTCAGAAGCGGTGTGCCTTTCCTTCTTTGTTTTAGTTTGGAAGGTCTATTGAAAACCTGTCCACCATGATGAACCCTGCTGGTATTTAGAATACTGGTGGTATAGCTCTCAGCATCACAGCAACACGCAAGCCACCACAATATGACAAACTGACAGATGAGTGATAGATTGACATCATGGAAGTGAATATTTACAACACAGGCTAATTACATCAGATCAGGGCTGATCACATCAGATCACATCTTCGGGGTGACTGCATTATATTGGATCTCATTATGGCAGATTACTACATCTTAACTGTCAAACCATTGAGAATTTAAGCCAACTTGATATAAACCTTAGCTATCGCAATCAGTAGAATATTGTGTAATCTAAATATTTTGACATTAGAAATATTTTGACTGTAGAATAAACCTTTTATACAATGACAGTTACAGTTAAGTATTCACTGTACAGTGAAGTAGAACCTCTGTTTGGATGTGTCATATGATTTTTTTTTTCTTTCCCACAGCAATACAAATTCTTGCGCTTCAGGAGGTCTCTGTTCTTACTAGTTAAACATAGCTGCATGGAATCGCTGTTCCTCGTTAGAAATTTCTGCATCATGTATTATTTTTTGGGTAAGAATTTCTGCTTTTTGATACAGTGTATGTATTAACTAAGATATTAGAAAATGTCAGTTTCAAAATAAGTCTTGATTGTTTTTGTGTTTTTCCAACAGTTGTAGTACAGGCAGTTGCTGTGTTACTAATGGCTTCCATTACTAAGTGTTGTTAAGAATTTGTAGGTAAATTGGAACAGGTGTATGTGGTTCTTACTTAGCTTTACTTTAGTGCAGGGGTGGGGAACCTTTTGTTTTGCCAAGTGCCATTTGGATATTTATAACCTCATTCACAGGCCATGCAAAATTATCATCTTAAAAATTAGCCTGCTGTATTTGGTCACAGATTTAATTAACTCCCCCATAATTGATGGTTGTAACTATGGTTGCCTTGGCAGGGCCAGACCAAATATGGGAGCTGGATGTTCCCCACTCCTGCTTTCATGCAAGAAAAGCCTTTTCAATGACTTAAAAGCTGCATCAAGTGAAGGTGGTGCTTGTGATGAAAAATTTGTCATGAGTAGAGTAGGGGTTGGTTCAATCATTTCAAAGCAGGGCATTAAAACAGTCATGGCTGATGAAACTTGAAGATGGCAGCTACCAAATATAGTGGCTGATGTTGATGGTTTGAATGTGTGTGGTTCGTCATAGATCTGCCAGTAACATTCTCACGTATCCGTCTCCTAAAAGTGCTCACTAT